ATTATATAATTATTTTAAATTGAATATAAAAATAAAACAATTAATTATAGCTTATATATTTAATTACCTCTTTTTCCTATTAGACCGATTTTACTTAGTAGTATGTCAAATTATCACAAAAACAGTGCCGAAACCAGTGAGTCTATTAATAAAAGTATACATTTCTAGAATAAAGTGATGAGAAAAAAAAATGTCTATATGGATTTTTTACTATATAATTATGTCTATATCACGGCACAAAGCGTATTTAGTTGAAATTATAATAGTTATATTTTTGAAAAATTCCTCTTAAAATTTCCGAAAAAATTACAATAATCATAAATTAATCGACGATTATATTTTAGCTTCGATACGAAGCTGAGAAGGTGTTAATTTTACTATGATGTGTGTTATTATTGTGTTTTTATTTATTTTTTTTTTGTGTCTATTAACACTTTTTCTCAGCTTTCATCGAACCGATTTCTTTCAACAATACGCCAAAAGATCACAAATCCTATGTAGTCGAAGACATTACCCTAAAAATTTTTAAAAAATTTCTTTAAAAAATTATTTTATACCTTTTGTACTAATTGTTTCATACCTTTTGTACTAAATGCTACTAAATGTTGCATACTTTTTGTATTATTTGATACTCATTGTTTCACATTATTTTTACTTAATTTAGTTATTTTATATACATTTTATTGTTATTAATATTTTTAGTTTTATAATTTATTATTATATTATTTATAGTTAGAAATTATTTTTTTTTAATTTTCCTTTCTACTTTATTTCCTTATAATGTTACATTTTAATTATTCGTAATCTTTTAAACATATAAATGTAATACAATATCATTATGAAGAGATTGATATATATTTAATTACCTCTTTTTCCTATTAGACCGATTTTACTTAGTAGTATGTCAAATTATCACAAAAACAGTGCCGAAACCAGTGAGTCTATTAATAAAAGTATACATTTCTAGAATAAAGTGATAAGAAAAAAAAATGTCTATATGGATTTTTTACTATATAATTATGTCTATATCACGACACAAAGCGTATTTAGTTGAAATTATAATAGTTATATTTTTGAAAAATTCTTCTTAAAATTTCCGAAAAAATTACAATAATTATAAATTAATCGACGATTATATTTTAGCTTCGATACGAAGCTGAGAAGGTGTTAATTTTACTACACCCAAAGAAAAACCTCAATCAAAATTGAAAGAGAAATTTTATCAAGGGTTTATATTAATGTTTTATTAATACGAACAAAATAACTATTCTTATAAATAATTATTGTTCAAGACAAGAAAAAAGAAAATCATATTGATAAATACATTGATTCAATAGTAATGATATATTTATCAAATTGAACAATGAATTTATTATATAGATTGAGATTTTTCTCTGAGTGTAAGATGTGTTTATTATTGTGTTTTTATTTATTTATTTTGTGTCTATTAACACTTTTTCTCAGCTTTCATCGAACCGATTTATTTCAACAATACGCCAAAAGATCACAAATCCTATGTAGTCGAAGACATTACCCTAAACATTTTTAAAAAATTTCTTTAAAAAATTATTTTGTAAACCTTTTGTACTAAATGCTACTAAATGTTGCATACCTTTTATACTAATTGATACTAATGTTTCACACCTTTTGTATTATTTGATACTCATTGTTTCACATTATTTTTACTTAATTTAGTTATTTTATATACATTTTATTGTTATTAATATTTTTAGTTTTATAATTTATTATTATATTATTTATAGTTTGAAATTAATTTTTTTTAATTTTCCTTTCTACTTTATTTCCTTATAATGTTACATTTTAATTATTCGTAATATTTTAAACATATAAATGTAATACAATATCATTATGAAAGAAATTGATATGTATGTACAACATTATAAAAAAGGAATTGAATGATAAAATCTATAATTTTATAAATCAACAATAGTCATATGCTATTAATGATTTATATGTTGCAAATAAAAAAAAAAAGATATCAATTAAACTTATATTTACTAGAATTTATATTGATGTTTCCTCTCTGTTATTCCCCATCTTGTCATATAAATAATAATAGTAAAAATAAATAAATATTAATTTTTTTACACACATTTTTTTATTATCCTTATTCAAATTTAGTGAATTGACTATTTTTCTTTACTCATATTACCAATTTTTATGGTTTAAACGTCGATTTAGATTCATAGAATTTAAAANCATGGTGTAAACGTCGATTTAGATTCATAGAATTTAAAAGACAAATATCAATCGGGATAACTATCACAATGTAGAAATCATAATAACGTGTTTTTACAAATTTACTTCGAGTATAAAAAGAAAATAGAATTTCTTCAGAAGCATATATGCTTTTTATAAAATGCTTGGCACCGCTTACTTTTTAAACAGTCCCATTAGCACACACAGTATCCATTGGAGTTTGGATTAGTAGGTTTGTAATTTTTATAATTCAGATACTAATCGGATCGGCATCAGTAGCTTTTGTCAATAAACTTATATAAAAAGTGTTAATTATGAAGTATTGAGTAAGCGGGGGATGTANAACTTATATAAAAAGTGTTAATTATGAAGTATTGAGTAAGCGGGGGATGTATCCGTCTAGTTTGTTTAGCCTATGATGGATCACGCGAGTCTACTTCAAAATCATTACAATAACTCACGTATGAAATAATCGATGTTTATCTCAAGAAACTTTGGATTTATTGGCAATACAAGTATCTATATAATATGTGAAATGAACCAGAATAGATATCGTGAATATGGCAATAATCGTCTTGTGTACTAAGCCGAGAGAGTGCTCCCTATTGAATAGAAGGTCCCTTGTTGCTTTATATTTTTATTCTTACAAACTGTAGATATAATATTATGCGTTTAGAAGTTCGTATAATGGTTTTTATATGATTTTTTTATATAGTTCGCTTTATTATACATTTATTACTAACATGATGTTTTATAATTAAAAATATATAATTTTTAAAAATCTATTATTAATACCGTAATATTTATAGCATTAAAAATATCGCATAGTTATATATTACTTATAATAATTTCAGGGATAATTAGGCATTAATCGAAGGAAAAAGTCAACAATATAAATAATCATTTTTATGTCAATTACAATATGAAAATTAACTAAAAATCACATTGATTCTGTTATTCTATTACTTTTCTTAATTAACTGTTGACACCGTACCGTATATTTGCTATACGTTTATTACACGGTCAACTCCGTCTCTTTCGTCAACCGCCTTATTATATTGCGAGCCCAACTTGTTTAGAGTACCCTCGCCACCTAGTTAGGGTGCAAAGTCTATCTACTAGATCGCGGTTGACCACCGAGCGCCGGCGGTGAACGCCTTTTACATCCTAAAATCCGTCGATCACGGGACATTCATAGAACTGTACTTAGATATTTATTTAAAAAAAAATCGTAAGTTGTATTTCATAATTTTTTTTTCTTTAGATTAATTTTAGATAAATATACGTATATTTATTTATTTATTTAAACTTCTTTACGGCCAGTGCCGTAGCATTTATTATTTAGACATTGTTGTGCATTTGTATTACCTGAATTATATTTGTGGCATTTAATTGACACTAGATTTATCCGTGTCAAAATGACTGCCCGATAAGAATTGAACCTTGGTAAGTCATTATTCTAAATCAATTAATTGATTTTTTTTTCTATAAGAATCACATACTATTTATGTACCACCGGTTCACGCGATCGAGTTTTGTTGCGCGCTGAGTGTGTACGGGAGTCTGGTTTTGGTGCTTATGCTATTAAGAACGATCCTATGACGGACAGTGGAGCGCCTCAACTTGAGAGTCCACAGCTAAGTTCCGTGATCGCCAATTCAATAGCAAAAAGAAATTTTGGATGCCCATCCGCGGGTTCATGTTGTAAAGAACGTGTCTGGTCCTTGTATACGAATAAACGAAGTAACCAGGTTGCATATAAAGAATTTAAATATATAATTGTGTAGTTATGTTAGTCAAGTCGTGTCCATAACAGGCGAAGATACTGGGTGCCCCGACCAAGAGGTGTCTTCGAGTCGGTGGCATAACATTTTAGTTGCAGAGCGTGGTCTGTTTTTTTTGTATTTGAGACCTGTGGAAGCCTTCAGCAGTTATTTTTGTTTATAAAATCGGTCTAATAGGAAAAAGAGGTAATTAAATATATATCAATCTCTTCATAATGATATTGTATTACATTTATATGTTTAAAAGATTACGAATAATTAAAATGTAACATTATAAGGAAATAAAGTAGAAAGGAAAATTAAAAAAAAATAATTTCTAACTATAAATAATATAATAATAAATTATAAAACTAAAAATATTAATAACAATAAAATGTATATAAAATAACTAAATTAAGTAAAAATAATGTGAAACAATGAGTATCAAATAATACAAAAAGTATGCAACATTTAGTAGCATTTAGTACAAAAGGTATGAAACAATTAGTACAAAAGGTATAAAATAATTTTTTAAAGAAATTTTTTAAAAATTTTTAGGGTAATGTCTTCGACTACATAGGATTTGTGATCTTTTGGCGTATTGTTGAAAGAAATCGGTTCGATGAAAGCTGAGAAAAAGTGTTAATAGACACAAAAAAAAAATAAATAAAAACACAATAATAACACACATCATAGTAAAATTAACACCTTCTCAGCTTCGTATCGAAGCTAAAATATAATCGTCGATTAATTTATGATTATTGTAATTTTTTCGGAAATTTTAAGAGGAATTTTTCAAAAATATAACTATTATAATTTCAACTAAATACGCTTTGTGCCGTGATATAGACATAATTATATAGTAAAAAATCCATATAGACATTTTTTTTTCTCATCACTTTATTCTAGAAATGTATACTTTTATTAATAGACTCACTGGTTTCGGCACTGTTTTTGTGATAATTTGACATACTACTAAGTAAAATCGGTCTAATAGGAAAAAGAGGTAATTAAATATATAAGCTATAATTAATTGTTTTATTTTTATATTCAATTTAAAATAATTATATAATCATAATTTGATAAATTGACAATTATACATAAAATTATCGATTAGAGGAACTTGATATACTTCTCCCTATTTTCGTCAGTTTCCATTGGCTCTGAAATATCTGGATTTAATCCTTAATGAAAAACAACTTATTAAATTAATTAATTAATTACTATGAATACTTATTATTTTGAAAATACATATTACTATTTTGTAATAACACAAGATAGAACAAAGAATATAAATATTAAAATAGAATCTACGAATGTATCATTTTACCTTTTCCGAGAAAATCAATTAATTGTAGTTTTTCATTGGAATCCGATATATTATCCAGTTCTAATAAAAAATGTATTTAATATAAAATAATACGAAGACGTTTTTATATAAGTAGAAATTTGAAGTAACCATTTAGAGTGAAGAATTTTACCTTTATTAAATGATTCAACAATCTCTAGTATCCATCAATTTTCTATTTTTAGTAAAAAGTCAAAAAATATTAAGTGTACCTAGTTCCTAGTTCCTAGTACCTAGTTCCTTGTCAAAATTTAACATTGCGAATAATTGAGGTTCAATACTACCACAAATCATTATTTAGTTTTCTTATATTTTTCTCAAAAAGTAGTTTTCGTACAAGATTATTTACAAGTCTATCTTTTTAGAAACAACAATCTAAATAATAATTAAATTATATGTAATTTATTTAATGTAATTATTTAAAAAAAAAATGTAATTGGGAACAAAAAAATACAAATTTTGAATACCAGTAGAATAATTTTAACTATATGTAAATTATTTTATAAATTACAATTATATGTATACCTTAAGGTACAGACTATCATAACGCATTCACCCAACCTCGCGCCTCGCTCATCACACGCCGGCAATACTATTCCAGTATAAATTTATGTTTGGTTATCGTACCCGTACACGCGTGCGTGTCATCAATATTATATATATATAAACAAATTTTTATTTTGACTAACCATTATCATCCGCGTGCATACAGCTTACGTATATATTCCTACCGCCGTTTATACCTCAGGTTTAACGTTAGTCCGACCTGCCCGCCCACAAAACTTAGCTATACCTAGTGCATGATACGTTTACGTACATAAGTCGCATTATTTGTATATATATTCTAATTACTATAAAAATTTATATATTAACACGATTTATTCTAATTAAGAGATATAAAGTATTCATTCCGATTACGAGGGATGATTTCCGTATC